CCATCCAATCAAGTGAGTCATTACCGTTGAGTTTGATTTCAAAACTGGTATGCAATATTCTCTCCTCTTCTTCCTCTGGGCAATATCCTACTTGGTCCTCTCCACTCCGGGCCCATTTAACTCTGAGATCCTTCAGGACAGTATATTTGTTGAAATCCTGCCCACTGCCTGGACCGTACTATACATCCAGTTGTTCGACAGGCTCATCACGACTATAGAGGTCAAATGTACTACCACCATTACCTCCAGTTGAAGGGCCTTTCTTAACCATGATGCGCAATGACGACTTTGAGACAGATATCAGAAAGAAAGTTTCACGTTGATGATTGTTTCTTACTAATTAAGAATTATTCAAGACTAATATAACTGTGGTTAGATTTTCATTGGCAAGTGATGGTAGTCCGACGTTATTCCAAGGTTCGACAGCACCTTAAATGGCACGCCAGGTCTCAGGTTGGCCAGCTAGCACATTGCTAGAATGGGTTTAATGAAGACCAGATATTGACACGCGAACCCATGCCTAGCATAGCAATGTTGGGGTGGTAGGAGTAAATACCATGTTTTGAATATACTGCGCATTGCGACAAGGAACTGTGCTCTTCTGGATGATGATAGTGCCTGGTTTTGCATAGATCGCCATCTTCTACACAGCTTCATTAATAGCTCCTGTATTTGTAGCTCGACCAGAGCCCAGACTAAACGCCTTAGTGGGTGTGTTAACTATAAGTATGACTACATCTGCTAGTCAGGTCTATCAGCCATAAGGGAGCCAAGTACCGCTGTAAAGATAACTACTGACAAAATAATCCCATCTGTAGCAGCATTCTTATCATCATCCAACGTCACAAAGACAAATGCAGTAAGAAAAAGGTCTTGCCGGAAGCAGGTGACATTGTTCTTAACTACTTAACGGACAAAGCACTGCTCTGTAATGCATTCTAAAGTTGTTAGAGTTCTTTAGGAGATGGCAGAGATCCCTGGATGAGTAGAAAAATAGTCTCTTAGGTGTCTTTTCCTCAATGGCATTGACTGGCCATCCTCCGTAGCATAAGGAGCCTTTTATGCGTTGCTGAAATGGCAAAAACTGTAGGTTAATTTAACATGTTAATAAGTTTGGTTGGACTAGGAGCAACCCTATAAGTAACATTAGATTTCTTGACCCGCGGTATTGCGAAATCTAGAGTTAAAGGCAATAGGTCCTTCCTTGAAATTTGACGTGCATTTTGACTCTTGCCACTAGTGATTCATTGAAAGCTGATTGCATGGATTGTGTTGTGGTAAATTAGAGTAGCTTAGGGAGCTCCTGTACACTATCCTTCGCGGAGAGGAAACCTTCTGCCTTCTAATCTCCGCTCTTTTGCGGGAATGCCAGGCCGGGCCAGGTAGGTCAAATTGCACGATCCATGCCCAGGTTAAGAATAATATTTAATAAGAAAGGGTCCAGATGACAGCCTCAAGGTCATCAAAGCTCTGTTGCATTTATCCAGGCTTATGCTTGCTGTGCGCAGATGCGGCCGAACCATACATCATAGCCGTAATGACCACTGTAATCTAATTCCAAACCCTGCGTTTCCTGTTCACATCTCATATCCTTCGCGAACTAATGTCACTTTTGCGCCTGCAGGTTGTAGTACTTGGCGTTATAAATCATCAGTCATATCTATCTGGTTCGCTTACCAATGTCCTCTTCCTCCTATCCAGAAATGAGAAGCAGCATATATGCTGGTCCATTGCATTGCAACCCAGATTTACAATGATAGGGTTCTATCAGACACCTATGAACACATCGAACGCCGGAGCATACCTGTAAATTCCATATAAACGAAGCTGTCTTGATGAGTTATTATTTGGATATAATGTGCTAGCCTTAGAACTGTTGTAGCAGAGTCGTGAATTGAATTGGAGGTTACATACGCTTCCGTTGAACGAAGCACCTACATACACAGACCTGAATCTAATATTGTTGTACTGTATCGGACCGTTTAGCACCAGCACAAGGTTTCATTAAGTAGCTTGGCAATTATCCTCCGAGAGCCGCCTTTGCATTTGCATAATAGTATAGGAAAACCTAATAGAAGGGAAAAACCTATACCAAGGCAGAAAGGCTACTGCAGTAACACATTGATCCTGTCCTTCAGCCATGGCTACCTACAACTGCCAGAACCATAAGCTGACACAATTCATAAATAAAATTTTGGAATATTAAAGGCAAACTCATAATAGAATACAGATTGTGCTATTTCCGGCACCGAAGTGATGTCAAGACTATGGACCCAGTAGGGCCAAGTACTGGCAATTTACAAGGCTTCAATGGGCATGTCTGATTATACCTGGTGGTTGGGGTTAGACTGTAATCCTGACACACAGATTGACAAAGTTAGATTATCTAGATCCATCCGGCCCGTCCCGTCCCGGCCCGGCCCTAACTCAGAGCCCTGAACCTTGCAGGTTTAGAAATGATGATAATGATGAATTCAATTACCCTGACCTCTCGCTGACCGATATGCAGGTTATATAACTGTATCACTGCCCTTGTGTCTCTATTCTACATGATCCCATTTCTTACGGGTGAACTTAAGCCTCTCATAGGGGCTCTGTGTTTGGCCCTTGCCGTTAGTTCCGTCCTTGCAGCTCCCTTGGTTCGCTTCTACAGAACCTTCCGCGAAATCTAGTGCAGCCTTCACTTGGCTGGTTTCTCCCTTTCTTCCTAGCGTGGTTGAGATGTTGCTGACGTTTTCGACCTCTCTGTGTAGTTTTTCCCATCGTAGTGTAGCTAGATGTTGAAGCAATCTGAATCGCACATTGCCAGAAGTAAGCGTCCTAGGCATGAAGCCATGTAAGCACATCATCTCCACTGTTGTCCATTCCCCATAAGTGTGGGCAGCGTAATGATTGGATCCACGGGCAGCCAGAGCGAGTCATGGTCATTGTCTGTCAGTAGATGCTGCATCGTGCTTCTAGTATCAGCCGACACAAGCCGTGGAGGGTTGTCAATGTCCTCTGGTGGGTCGTTGCCCCCCCGTAAGTCTTGCGTATCACTGTCGGTCTGACTCCCGCCTGCTGCCGCTGTCGTCTGGGTACTTGCTTTAACCCTCTGCCCTGTCTCAAGCTCCTCAATCAGCTGTGTATCGTGCACCTTAAGCAGGGGTTATAAATGTGGATGCATACAGTTGTTACGCTGCGACAGGCTGTGCTGGAGACTTTTCCACGCATTGGACCCACTGGTTAGTTGGTCCCTCCCAGGCAAAAAGAATGAACTCTCACCTCCTTCTCTCCACAGCCCTGAGGCCAGTCGACCGACCTAAGTTCCTGGTAGCTTTGGACGACTCTGAGTCGAGAGCATGCTATCCGGTCTTATCCTGTGAACGGTTGTCTTGTGCTGCTGCTGCTGGTGCTGGTGCTGCACCAGCAATTGGAAAACATAGCTGATGATCCAATTATTTATAACCGTCTCCAACTCATTTCACCACCGTAGACAGAGCACCTCACCTTGCTCGAACGTGATGCCACATGGACGACATTGTGGGAACCGAGCGGGGAACCTTGTCAGGGGTTAGAGACACCGGCCTGCATTGCTTCAGACGATGGTTATAGTAGCGGTAAGCAATATGAGCATGTTAGCAGGGATTGCAACAAGCGCTCTGTATGATGATCTCCACACGCAGTATCCTGTGCGTACGGAGTACGTAGCCTAATGAACCATTCACAAGACGACGATCGACACACCCAATATGGTCAATATGAAAAGTGACACGGATCCAAAATCTAAATCCGCGATTGAGAGCGATGGTTCAAGACTCAAGGGCTCGGGGCATGAAGTCCAAAGACTAGGCAACCGCGAAATACCCGAAGGCGTCTGGCTCATCAAAATTAGATTAATATTTGATTGCGTCCAAGCAAGTCGGGGGCCACCGTCTAATGCCTGCATGGGCGCGATACCACTCTACAGACCCGACTGTCTGGGTGAGGCTGTGATAGTTGAGCGTTAGCAGCCCCACGGACTAAACCCCGCAAGTTGAGCAATCAGGACGGTCAAAATTTATGAGTACGAGGTAGAGTTGCATAACTGAACTGCTAAATTTGAATCTGACCCTCACTGAACTCGAAGTGGTGAGGTTTTAGTTTGTAGCCTAGGGAACTGCACCGGATGTAGTTTCTCTACCCTAAAACTCAAAACCATTCAGTTAAACCGCTAGTTATAGTTTTTGCGGTTTTATTAGTTTAGGTTACCTAAACCTCACTGTTTGGCCTAGTATTCCCTAATTTCTAGGACTTCTCTATGATTATTAACATCACTGGATAGCTAGTATCTAGTCTATCTAGATATTAAATATTGGTTTAAAATACCTGGTGGTTGGTGAGATATAAGTAACTAATCGTTTCTGTTACGGAATGGTAAAGGTGGTGATGGTTTATATATATGCATCAACCGTCGACAATTGGTATGCCCCAAGGGAAATGCCCGGGGAAGACCACATAAAACTAGCCCAGCTCCACATGATAACTGCGATGACCGGTTATCTCGTTGAGAACGGTCACCACAGAGACGGAGATATGTCGCCATTCTTTTTTATAATCTGGCCAGTATAATCATGATTTGAATGCCTATGATATGGCCAAAGCCCCTAGCACAGGGAAGTACGAATCCTTGTCGACGAAAGGACGTTGGATGTCGAGGATGAAAGGAAATACCCGGGCATCTTCAATGATTACAAGGTGGGTCCGGGTCAGGCAATTATCTGCTTCGGACTATCTAGACGGTTTCTACTCCCGGAGGACCCTTCTTTTTTTCTTTGATCAGGACTGTTCGTCGATAGCAAGAAACTCCCAACCCAACGCAATATGCAGAATGTCAAAGGAAGGAAATGAGAATATCGTGATATCGTGCAGATGGATTCTAGATAGAGACCCGGGTAAACATGCCCGACCACATTAACCAACACAGCTTTTGCCATTGCCCGGGCAAGATAGAGTGAGACTAGGGAGACCGACCGTCAGAAATGTCCATCGTCAGCCCGGTTATTCTGAACATTATTCTGAACTGCATACATTTTCCAATTCACACACATGTTTGTTTGCACGTGATAGGATACCCTACGAGACGGCTCCGACCGACCCCGTCGGGCCTGCTCCTATGCCGCCCGGCACCCCCCGCCCCGGCGACGGCATCCTGCCGGGACCGCCTCCCCCGCCGTCCGGGCGGGACGATCCGGGCATCGCTCGATCCGTCTCATCGCGGGGCATCCGACCGTGCCCGTCACCGGTGCCAGTGCCCCCGGGGTGACTGCAAAACCGGCGTGTACCTGTCAGGATCGGCTCCGCGGACCAGTTCTGCCGGGGGCACTGCTCCCCACCAACACGGCACCACTTCACCAGCGGCCAAATCCAGGCCGTCTGCATCGCCCCGTGGACCCCTCCCTGGTCTGGTCCCTGCGCGACCACCAGCTCGGAATGTGGTACCAGCCGGAGTGTGGAATCCCACCGCGCGGGTGCCCTACTGCGGCAGTGATATATATCTCCGCATCCCACCTCAGTGGGGCCCGCATGCCGGCCGTCCCCACGCCTGAAGCAGCCCAAATGGATGATTTCGCCCAGTGATCTGGCCACCTCCATCATCCCTGGGCCCCTATTGCCCACCGGAATCCCTCTCCCAGACCGTGCATGGCTGACCACGCCGCCGGGGTCCCCATCAGAGGGTTCTCGCGGGGATCCCGCCCCCAGGGCTAAATGCGGTAAGCGCAGGATCCACTAGACCCACAGCAGCCGCTGGTGATGTCCCACTCTGGCCCTCGCCGGCCGCAGCCGCTGGCGAGGACCCCAACCACTCACCGCGCTGGATCTTCCATGACGGCAGCGGCCGGTAATAGCATGAGCTAATCTGCACGCAGCGCCGCGGCCCCTGGCCCGTTGGCAGTGGTGATCAGTTAACAGGTACAAATATTGACCTGGATTGCACGAAAGTCCCTGGCCCTGGACCACTGTGGGATCCGGAGAGAGTGGGTGGCGACTTAACCAGTCTATGCGGCCTATCATCCACGCCTAGCCTGGCCGCACTTGAGGTCCCTTAATGGGGCCGACCAGGGCCATAGACTGGAGGACCTGATGCTAATAGATCCTGCTAGATCCCCAGATGAAACAGGACACGACCAAGGCCAGGAAAAGGGGGGAAAAAAAGCAATGCTTCCTCTTCTAGGCCGCCCGGACCACCACCCCAACAATAAGATAAAGAAAAAGGGGGGGGATGTACATGGCCTAGATATACTCTTAAAAGGCACCAGCCCTGGCCAGCTTTGCCCTTAATACACCCATCCTCCCTTTCCACCCCTCCTCTATCATTACCACTTGGCTCTTAGACGCATGGCCACACCACCGCTGCTATTAGACAGCCCCTGATCATCCACCATGACTGTGCCACCCCTGTACAACTACCTCTAGGACTACAATGCCATCATCTACCGGGCGTGCAAGGTGGTGGTCCCTGGCTGCCTAGCGCAGTGACATCTCCAGGAGGCCCACTGGCTGGCGGCCTAGGACTGTTGTCTACAGCTCCGCGCGCTGCCTGGGGGTGTGTGGCCCCGGCAGGACCACACAGACTTCCCACCCCTGCCCCCCAGCAGCAAACCAATCCCCTAGCTCCCCATCCACTGCGTCTGGTGCTGCTTCATATGCGGGACCTACCTCAGCAGCAGCACCCGGTGGGTCCAGGAGCACCACTACTGGGACCATCCCAGAGTCCGCCTGCCCCCACCCTGGCAGGTTAGCGCCCAACGGTGGTTCGCAAACAGCCGCTACTACTGCTACTGGATCGTGGGGGTCCCCAGCGCGCAGCCACAGGACCCCCCGCCCGTGCAGCCCACCTCTGCCGTCACCACCCCATCCCTGTCCCAGATGATACAGCCCATCCCAGCCCCAACTGAGCCCCCGACTGAGCCCCTAACCAAGCCATCTGCCCTATAACCCACTAATAAAGCGCCAGCGAGCAGCAATGGCTAATCTAGGGAGTAAGCCTCCAGTGGACTACCCCACCCGCAGTCAGTCTGGTCGGCGCCCGAAGGAGTTAGGGTGGATGATGGGGGGGATGAGGGGGACCAGCTGGGCATGGTCCTGACCAGTAATGATGGATGGATTATGACAGATCTAGACAGGCCACTAATAGCTTATATATCTCCCCTCATGCAGGAGCGCCCGGCAGCTCCTGCTATGCCTTACCAGGAGGCCGAAGGCCTAATAACAGGCAGTAGCCCTGGGGACGCGGAGTCCAGCCTATAGGGTCCACCTATAACTATCACACTGGGAACCCCCTGGCCATCTGCCCCATTAATAGTAGGCCTCATGACCACCTTCCCCATGTCCACCACCTTAGAATGGGTGCAGAACGCCCTCACCCAGGAGTATTGGATCCTCTAGGCAGAGCAGTGTCGGCTTCGGCCACTGGTGGCCTGTCTAGAGGGGTCCATAGAGCTGGCTACTATAGATAACTCTGTCTTCATCCACCACATCTGGCGCTAGCAGTAGGACAATATCACCCCGTGGCTGATGTTCACTGAATGGCCCTAATACTTCTACTAGTACTCACTACTTGGCCTAGTCTGTGTGGTGGGGACCCTGGATACCCCATAGGTCCTGCCTGCGCTGTAGGTATAGTGGGGTGGCAGTGGGGGATCCTTACCCACTACTATAGAAGAGCTGGAGATGCAGCACTAATATAACCATATTCTCACCCTCGTCTGCCAGGGGATGGACTGGGTCCTTAACCAGGCCTGGGTGATGCTGGAGTAGACCCATATATTAATCTAGGAGGTCTTTAGCTACTGCATCCCTGGTCAGCAGACGCGGAAATAACCCCTAGGACGGCTGCAGCCAGAGACAGAGTAGCAGTATATATAGTACTAGAAATAGTTCCTGTGCTTCCTCCTCTGGGCCATTTCCCTCTTGCATGAGGATTAGGGCTGTCTGCTTAGGGTCTATCTAGATAAGGAGTAAGAGTGCATGCTTAAAATCCTATGGCAGACTCTTAACTGCTATCTGGAATGCCCTAACCTTAATGTCTAGATGGATAAAGAGAATCCCTTCTAAGCCTAGCTTTGGCTTACTAGCCAGTAATGACAGCTGGCCACTTAACTAGACATAGCCATTAAGTAGGGATAACCACTATGCAGACCCTGCAAGGCCACAGCCACTCTGCCATCAGAGGCCTACCTCCCATCCCTAGGGGCCAGGCAGCGGTCTACTAAGTGCCCTCACTCTATAGTGCGTCACCCACCTAGTAGTAGTGAGTCTGATTACTCTCTAAGCCTGTACTCTAGTCCCCTGGCCCATCTGCAGCGCGACCACAAGTAACCCTAGTTAGACTATCCTCTTTAGGCGGAGGCACTGGCCCTCCAGAGAGCTATAGTAGTCTATATCCCTGTCTGCTTAACCATCAAATCCCTAGCCTAGGGTTCTATGCACAGCTCTAGTATTACTAAGCTAGATTCTAACCCTGCTATGTTGTATTGCTCCCCTGAAACTAATAGTAATTATTCTAGCACTAAGGTTACAGAGGCCACCATGGATGAGACTAGGAGTGTCTATTCTAGCAGCAATGTAAGTGATACAGAGGAGACGGAGGAGGATGAGGGGGGGCTAGAAGAGAAGAAGGTAGATAAGAAGAATAAAGATAAGGATAAGGATAAGGATAGGTCCTCCCTTAACCCAGATGAGCCACTGCAAGGTTCTAAAGCACTAGATAGTAGATCTAACCCTGGCTAGGGGGAGGCTACCCCTAAGCATCCCTTCCCTAGTTAGTTCCTAGCCTTACCAGCAGCCACTAAGGAATAGATCACAGAGGTGCTCTTCTCCCTCTACATTAGTTACCTGATGACTAATGCTATCTACCAGCATAGGGATAAGTTTCATTCCTCCCTAGTGGCCTTTGCCATGGTGCTAGGGATCCAGCCCTAAAATTATAGTCTCTATAAACCATACTACTATACCACCAAGCTAGCAGGTATTGCCTAGGTTAGTCAGCTGCTCCTGCTAGAATATGCATTGCTAATCTATAGCTACCACTTTATTAGTGATGTCCCAAGCCAGGACACATACCACTTCTACACTAGATATGCCTAGCAGATCTAGGGGATCTATAGTGCCTAGGACACATTCTTCCCCCTAAATAATATCCTTGCCATATTAGCAGTGGGGCTGACCATCATCTATAATGAGCCACGCCTAGGGACCATCCAATGGTCCCCTAATCTGTAGATAGTCTACTATCACTAGCTGCTAGACAGCAGGCTGCCTCTCCCCTAGCTGCGCCGATGGGTCCAGTAGGTCATTAAATCAGCCATAGCCCTGCTGGAGCGTGACCTCCTTCTTAGCCACAGGTCCCTAGTGGATGTGCGATCACTGGTAGATGACCTAGTAGAGTGTTAACCTGGGTTCTCCTTCCTAGACATGCACATTAACCAGCTCCAGCCCACAGTGGCACTAATCCTGCGCCTAGCGGAGAACCCCCCTGGGGGTGTAGGCCCACTGCACTGCCATGGGCAGTGGGACCCACCAGCCATCTAGTGCTATTAGTAATCCATGCAGATGTTCCTGCAGCAGCTAATGCTTGCCACCTAGCTCTCCTAGGGGCAGCCCAGTCACGGCAGTAAGCTTATAATAGTAAAATAGTAGAACACCACCATTGCCCCACAGAACCTATATATCTATAAGGGGCAGATAATGATCATCACTCATGACTATAAAGCCTGGGGCCACATTATATAATAATATATCTGCACCTAATTCCTTCCCCTGTCTATTAGCTAGCTAGTGCTCCTGTATCTACTGCATATACACCTATTTATAGTAATGCTAACGCCTGTTACTTAGGAGCACAGCCCCTAACATTACTAGTAGGCACAGTGGGAGGCACAGAACCTAGCTAAGTTATAGAATATAGTGGATTACTCTATAGAGCTAAGTAAGTAACAGAGCTCCTATAATCTCTTTACTACACCAGGATCCTGATCCCCTAGAAATCTAAGATATAGGCCATATGGGTGGCTGCTCTAGCAGAGTAGCCATGAGTTCTTTAGTCACTTTACCTTAAAAGCTCTGCCCTACTGCTATCTAATCATTATAATCACCAAAAAGCATCTAAAGGTGAAGGTAATAGTGGCAGACCTATACTCTGCAGCAGCAGCCCTTAATAGCATCTTTACCACCTAGGCTGGCTATAGTCCCGCTATTAACCACTAGATCTATGGTGTGGAGGAGTCCCAGCCCTTTTAGCCCCTGCTAGAAATGCTATATCTATATCAGTACACCTCCTATCAGTGGCACTAGTTTATCCTAGCACTAGTAAAGGATCCACATCTGGCCCTAGTCTCTGAATCACCATCTATGTCCAGTCCAGGGCCTAGATAGCTGCTAATACTGCTAGACTAGACACCATAGCATAGGGTCTACCAGCACTAATTACTCCCATAGGATTTCTTCTATTTCTACCTGTAGTAGCATCTGCTGCTCTATAGTTGGTACCACTAAGTAGTGGCGCGGACCTCTACCTAGGATCACCTCCAGGCCTATTATATACTTGGCATTACCCTAGCAGATGAGGTGATGCTCCT